TCTTGGCCCGTCTTGGGCAGCCCCGAAAGATTTGATTCGGGGTCTGGGCCCCTAAAGATTCCTTAGGATCGCGGACTGAGGCTCAGGAGATTGGGCAAAGGACCCGAGGACACGCCCACCCCGTGCCCAGCGGCACGGTGACGGATGTCAGTGCGCAAGGTTGTCAGTCCCTAAGTGTTGCGAGTGGAAGTTCTTGGCGATCAGGCGCCCACACTAATTTCGAAGATCAGTACTTGCGCCGCGAGTTTTCATACAAGGGCAGCGATTGGCGATCGTTTTCAATGCTTTGCCGCCCTGCAAGGCACGACATTGCGTTCATTATGGTTCGCTGTAAGTGTTATCTTCTGTTGTAGTCAGGTGCGCAATAACAACTGTTAGTTTCACCGTAAGTGTTTGAAGAGCCAACGCTCCAGTATCATAGTTAGCATGGACATCAGGAGCCCGGCGTTAGCTCAAGAAACAAGGGTGCCTCTACAGATGGGACGCGATTGGCTGATGTGCAGCCTTCTCTCTGGATGTTTCCTGGGACCTCCGTGCGCTCTGGGGCCTGCCTCTTCAGCTGCTCCTCGGCTAAGGCGGGAGGGGCAGGCCAACTGACAGAACGATGTAGTTTCTCTGGGTCTCCGGTTTGCTGTCAGTCACCGCTTCAATGAGCGTTCCATACATCCATCCTGCTCCCTGCTCCACCTTCTCCCGTTCCTCCTCCGTCTCCTCCTCCTCCTCTCCTCCCCTCCCCTTTCTCCTCCTCTCTCTATTCTCCTCCTGACCCTCCTCTTCCCCCGCTCTCTTCCTCCTGAGCTCGTCGCCCTTTCCTCCTCGTTTCCCGGCGAACAGACGACAGGAGATCAGTGTCTTCCGCGCCCCAACCCGAGCCAGAGTTCTCCTGCCCATACCATCACAAACAGTCTCGACGGGTTTGGTACTTGAACTGAATTGAACTCCTCGTCCTTCTTAGCCCTGCTCTGGGGGCGATCTGACTGAACAGTCAGGGGACGGCGTCGCGGCAGCGCCATCACAATCAAGGTCGGCGCCTGCCTTATCATACATCTCGGGCAGGCCGCGCGGGATCGCTGGATACGCCTCCGGCGCAAGAACAGGCAGCGCAAATTCATCCAGTTCCTCGTCCTCCCTTTCCTCCTCCTCCTCCTCCTCCTCCTCCTCCTCCTCCTCCTCCTCCTCCAGCCTCTTCCTCGTGCCCATCCTCGTGCCCATCCTCGGCATCCTCTTGTCCCTCCTCCTCCTCCTCCTCCCTCCTCTTGCCCCTCCTCCTCCCTCCTCCCTCCCTCCTCTTGCCCCTCCTCCTCCTCCTCCTCCTCCTCCTCCTCCTCCTCCTCCTCCTCCTCCTCGTGCCCCTCCTCCTCTCGACGCCCCTCTCCCTCCTGCCGCCGAAGGCCGGCGGCGCGTGTCTGTCGCGCCCGCCCGCCCCACCCACCCCCGCCCCCGCGTCGAGGCCGAGCTCTACTTCGACGACGGGATACAGCAGTGTGTCTCCAAGGCGCGAGCGCCGGGATGAGGCGAGTGAGCCCTCCCCCTGCCTCCTCCCCCTCCTCCTCCTCCTCCTCCTCCTCCTCCTCCTTCTCCCCCTCCTCCTCCGCCTCCTCCTCCTCCTCCTCCTCCTCCGCCTCGCCCTTCCCTCCTCGGGTCGCCTATGGCCCCGGGGGAAACCGGCCAGTCAGAGGAGGAGAAGGTGCCCATGCCGCTGCCCTTGCCTCGGCTTCCCTCCTTTGGGCCTCCTGGGAGGCCCTCGTCGCCAAGGCGCGAGCGCCGGGGTTGAGGCGAGGCGGACGGCCCTGCGAGGAGGGAGAAAGTGGAGGGTTTCTCCGAAGGGCTTAGGCGACCCGTCCTCCTCCTCTCTCCTCCTCCTCCTCCTCCTCCTCCTCCTCCTCCTCCTCCTCCTCCTCCTCCTCCTCCTCCTCCTCCTCCCTCCTCCTCCTCCTCCTCCTCCTCCTCCTCCTCCCTCCTCCGCCTCCTCCTCCTCCTCCTCCCCCTCCTCCTCCTCCTCCTCCTCCTCCTCCTCCTCCTCCCCTCCTCCTCCTCCTCCTCCTCCTCCTCCTCCTCCTCCTCCTCCTCCTCCTCCCCCTCCTCCTCCTCCTCCTCCTCCTCCTCCTCCTCCTCCTCCTCCTCCTCCTCCTCCTCGCCCTCCCCTCCTTGGGTCGCCTATGGCCCCGGGGGAAACCGTCCAGGAGACAGTCAGAGGAGGAGAAGGTGCCCATGCCGCTACCCTTTCCTCGTTTGCCCTCCGTTGGGCCTCCTCGGAGGCCCTCGTCGCCACCGCCGGGTCGTCTCGAAGTTCCGGTCAGAACGTACCGAGGCTAGGGGAGTGGCGGGATCGGCACCTTTGGGTTTCCCCAGAAGGGTGCCGACACCGCTGCTCGTCTTGGAGAGCCCTCGTCGCCATGGGTGGACTCTCCCCTCCGTGGGCGATTCGTGTGCACCGCACCGCGCTGTCCTCTCCCGAGGCGTGTGGTCGATCCTCGGCGCAGGAACGGTACGGTGCACCGTTTTTCGGCCTCAGGGCCGAGCATCTATTCTGGACGCCCGAAATGGGTACGGAAAGAATGGGTACAATGCCCAACAGCAGTTCCTGTTCATTTTGAACAGGATTCGCTGTCCACGCCGCCGCGGCCTGTGTCCATTCGAGACAGAAGGCCGCCTGCCCAACAGCGGCCGCTGTTGGTTTTGGAGAACATTTGTTGTTGGGCATTGTACCCATTTTTTCCGTACCCATTTCGGGCGTCCAAATCTATGGCATATCGCGGTGCGGCGCATAGACTATGCGCCGTACCGCGCTGGAACGGGGCCTGATGCTCGGACGCCGTTCTCGTGCCCTCGAAGCTGCGGTGAGAAGGCACCCAGGGAGGGGTGTGCGGCATGGCGGGATGGTTAGTGTTTTTTGCCCCCTCTGGAACCGGTTCCCCAGAGGAGTAGACGAGGTTCGGGTTGGGTGGACGAGAAGCGCCGCCACCACCACCACCACCACCACCACCACCACCACCACCACCACCAGCTCGATCCGATTTCACCGTTGGATGCTGACCCGTCTTGCCCTCCGGAGGAGGACATGTACCGATTCCGCTACCCCAGATTTCGTAATGTAGGGAGGGGGGTCTCATTTCGGGGGGGGTCTCTTCCAGGCTATCTTGGAGGGCCTGGGGGGGTCTGGGGACGATGTTTTGGAGGGTTCTCCCACGGGGGAGGTCTGAAATGGCTTGTCTTGGAGGGTCCAGACCCCCTCCTTTTATTACGAAATCTGGAGTACCCTTCCCTCGTTTTTCGACTTTTGGGCCTCTCGGTTGGCCGTCGTGCCACGGCCGGGAATCGCCGCGAAGTTCTGGCCGCCCCTTGGGAGAGCTCCAGGGAACCCTCTGCCTGGAGAAGAAAAGCAACACCACAACTACCCGAGGAGGAGGATGAGGAGGAGGAGGAGTGAGGAGGAGGAGGAGGAGAGGGGTGCCACCTCCAGCGAGGAGGTCAAAGTCCTCCCCTCGCGCAGCGCCGTCGCAGTCATAGCTTGTCGCCTGGGGGGGGGGGGAGTGCGTTGCGGCCGAAAGTGTAAATCGACGCGGCAAGGGGGCTTGACGGCTTCACGCTTTCGTTTCCTTGTTCACGCTTCCTTGGGCCAGCGTCCCCTCATGCATTGCAAGGGGTGATTCCCGCCCCTCCAATCGGCGGCGAGAGAGCGGGGGAAGTCGGAAGGAGCAGGCCCTCTCAGAAGGCGTCGGGGCTTCTCAGAAGCCCCCGGCCTGTTGGGGCGTCCTCTGTGCCTTTGGCGACGACTTCGAGAACTCCTCCGAAGGTGGACCACTGAGCGCGTTCCACTACTCGCAAAGTGCCTACTCGCAAATGGCGGAAAGAAAAACATGTGTTTGCCTCGATGTAGTCAGTCGTCGACTCCCCGCGGCGGGTCCAGGCCATCTGCGAGTAGTTCTTTTGCGAGCAGTGGAACGCGCTTGTCCAGTGGAGGCCTCCCGCTCGAGCCGAGGACCTCCACCTCCTCTTCTGTGCCCCCCCCCGCGAAACGGACAGCATCGCGCTTCAGGTCGAGGCAGCTTGATAGTGGCGATCCTCTGGACCCGCAAAGGCCCTGTGATTCTGCGTCAGCGCCTGCCATGCCCCAGCCGCCTGGCCGTCCCATAGGAAGGTGTTCTCAAGACGGTGTTGCCCGTCTGCCTCGCAACCGCGTGGCTGATCTGAACAGTCGGCACCCATGCAGCATTTAGCTCGTACAGGCGCACGCCAGCTGGTCGTGCCTGCGGTTCCGTAAGTACAGCTGCGGCGGGCCCTTTACAGCTCACGGCCCTGCGCCTTTCGGTGGTGGTCGGGGGAGGCGGTGAGGTGGCGGAGGTGGGGGAGGCAGAGGAGGAGGAAGAGCAAAGGGACTCACTTGGAGTCGAGCTTCATGTGGTGTCCAGGCGTGGTGCTCTTCTGTGCCCCCCCCCGGCGCGCCGCCGATCCGACCCCGCCGTGACGAGCAGCCGACGCGCCCCTGCTGTGCGGCCTCGAGCCCCCGCGTCGGCCAGGCGTGGATCACGACGCAGGTCCGCAACTGGAACGCCGAGGCGCCACGCCGCTCCCGCCGCGGGGGGGGGGGGGACGCGGGAGGGGTTCCCCCCCGTGGGGGGGGCGGGCGGCGTCTTCCTGCTGCGGGCCGTGGCAAGCTCAGCCTCGGCTCGGGTGACTCGTCACGGTGCTTCTGTCTGGGCCGCCCAGGTGGGGCCGGAGGGCCGCGCCGCACCGCCGATGCGTCGGCGATGCATCGGCGGTGCGGCTCGATGTGGGGCCCGATGTTCTCCACGCCGACGTCGTCGATGCATCGCCGACGTCGCCAGTGAATGGCCGATGCATCGCCGATGCATCGGCGAAGTATCGCCGATGCATCGGCGATCCCGCACCCATCCAGAAGGCCTCTAGTGTTCTAGTGTCGTGAATGCGTGCGTATGCCGAATGTCCAGGCCTTGCATCTTTCCCTGTTGTGAGAGGCTGGTCGGACACAAGACTGCAGGATCACGTTATGGAGGTACGGCGTTGTCATGCCTCGCAGACAGGCGCCGCCATCCCGTGCTCCGCAATTGCCACGGCTCGTGCAGAAACATATTGGCAGTGCGCTGAGCTCGCTAGCATCGCTGCAGTCGTGGATGGTTTTATCTCCAACTCGCGTGCCCGCAGGGCATCAGGTAGACCTGGCATCGTGACCCGTCAGACCTTGCATCGGGACGCATCGCTCCAGAGCGATCTGGAACCGTCTCGGAGCGTTCCAGAACGCTCTGAGAAGGCCACGGCGCCCAATATTTGTGGAAGTCGATTAAAAGAGAGGAAGCATGCTGCCAAATAATTTCCAGATGTCTACAAGATGTTTCAAACATGGTTTAAGCGTGTTTAAACAATGTGTGAAGCAATTCTAGAACATGTTTTACACACATTAAACACATCTTTAACTCAATGATAGGATTGTTCGAGTGTCCATCGTCATGGCATCCACAGCACAATGCATCCTTCAGGACCGGCCAGCGGGTGTCTCGAGGACGCGTCCAGAGTGGCGGCCGTTCCAGATCGTCGCGAGGGCACTCGGAGAGCGTTCGGGAACGATCTGGAGCGAGTTGCCCTCGTCCGGGGCCTGCCTGCAGAGTGAAGGAGAATGGTGAACCAGACGCACACACCTCAGGACGGCGCGCCTCCATGTGCACCGGGATCTCAGGGATGACCGACGCGTCTCGAGGGGATTCAGGAGGGGAAAAAACATACAGACACAATGAATCGTCGATTCCCCAGAAGCTATGGGAAACTATGGGAAGTGGGGGGGAAGACAAACACCCAGAAAATATGGGAACATATGGGGGATCCTGTTATCTGCGTGTATTTATTTGTGTGTCCCAGGGCCCCTTCGGGGATCCGCTGCCGTCCTGCGAGGAGGAGGAGGAGGAGGAGGAGGAGGAGGAGGAGGAGGAGGAGGAGAGGAGGAGGAGGAGGAGGAGGGAGGAGGGGAGGAGGAGAGAGGAGGAGGAGGAGGAGGAGGAGGGAGGAGGGAGGAGGGGAGGAGGAAGGAGGAGGAGGAGGTGCTCGGGCAGGGGACGGGCGGCGCCCCGGGGCGGGCGCGCGCGGGAGCGCCCACGGCGAGGGCGCCCCTACCACGGCGCCGCGAGCGGAGTGGCACGGGGGCGCAGGGAGGTTTCCTCCAGCCACGCGCAGAGGGGGGTGGAGGAGGGGGGAGGGCTTCTTAGAAGCACCCCCGCTTCTTAGAAGGCCGGGCCTTATCTGTAGATGTAAGGCCGGCGCCTTCTAAGAAGCAGCTTCCTTCTAAGAAGCCCTCCCCCCTCCCTCCACCCCTTTGTGCGCGCCGCTAAGACTTGCACCACTGAGCTCACGCGACAAGTCTGGAGGAACCTCCCTAGTGGAACAAAAAGTGGCACAAACATCAAATCTCGGAGGTCCGCGATTTCTCGGATCGGCGCTGGGGTGCACCACTGAGCTCACGCGACAAGTCTGGAGGAGCCTCCCTGGGGAAACACAAAGTGGCATAAACATAATTACGTTGCCGAGGAACCCCACATACTTATATTATGGCTGGAGTGATGATAGCTGAAGTGAAGCATGTAAGAATGATGTTGGTGGCCGTTGCCACCCCCTGCGCACCCCCTATTTTGTCCAGAAGGTGCCACGCCTGCTATGCCCTGGACGACCGTCGTGCATAGCGGCCGCGGTGAGGGACCACCCCCTGCGCACCCCCTATGGTGTCGAGAAGGTGCCACACCTGCTATGCCCTGGACGACCGTCGTGCATAGCGGCCGCGGTGAGGGACCAACCCCTGCGCACCCCCTATGGTGTCGAGAAAGTGCCACACCTGCTATGCCCTGGACGACCGTCTAGAATAGCGGCCGCGCTCGGGGACCACCCCCTGCGCACCCCCTATGGAATCGAGAAAGTGCCACGCCTACTATGCCCTGGACGACCGTCTCGGATAGCGGCCGCGCTCAGGGACCACCCCCTGCGCACCCCCTATGGAATCGAGAAAGTGCCACGCCTACTATGCCCTGGACGACCGTCTCGGATAGCGGCCGCGCTCGGGGACCACCCCCTGCGCACCCCCTATGGTGTCGAGAAAGTGCCACGCCTGCTATGCCCTGGACGACCGTCTCGGATAGCGGCCGCGCTCAGGGACCACCCCCTGCGCACCCCCTAAGTGTCGAGAAAGTGCCACGCCTGCTCTGCCCTGGACGACCACGCCTGCGCACCCCCTATGGTATCGAGAAAGTGCCACGCCTGCTACGGCCTGGACGACCGGCGCGGATAGGGGGACCACCCCCTGCGCACCCCCACGGCCGTGCGAGACCCCCCATGGTATCGAGAAAGTGCCACGCCTGCTACGGCCTGGACGACCGGCGCGGATAGGGGGAGCACCCCCTGCGCACCCCCTATGGTGTCGAGAAACTGCCACGCCTGCTACGGCCTGAACGACCGGCGCGGATAGGGGGACCACCCCCTGCGCACCCACTATGGCGTCGAGAAATTGCCAGCATGCCTACGGCCTGGACGCCGGCGCGGATAGGGAGCCACCCCGTTGTGCGCACCCCCTATGGTATCGAGAAACTGCCACGCCTGCTACGCCTGGACGACCGGCGGGATAGGGGGAACCCCCGTGCGCACCCCCTATGGTGTTCGAGAAAACTGCCCGCCTGCTACGGCCTGGACGCCGGCGGCGGATGGGGGACCACCCACTGCGCACCCTTTATGGTGGCGTCGAGAAAACTGCCACGCCCTGCTACGCCTGGACGCCGGCGCGGAAAGGGGGACCACCCCCTGCGCACCCCCTATGGTGTCGAGAAACTGCCACGCCTGCTACGGCCTGGACGACCGGCGCGGATAGGGGGACCACCCCCTGCGCACCCCCTATGGTGTCGAGAAACTGCCACGCCTGCTACGGCCTGGACATGGTATCGAGAAAGTGCCACGCCTGCTACGGCCTGGACGACCAGCGCGGATAGGGGGACCACCCCCTGCGCACCCCCTATGGCGTCGAGAAACTGCCACGCCTGCTACGGCCTGGACGACCGGCGCGATCAGGGATTCAACGCCCCTGCGCACCCCTATGGTGTCGAGAAACTGCCACGCCTGCTGCGGCCTGGACGACCGGCGCGGATAGGGGGACCACCCCGTGCGCACCCACTATGGCGTCGAGAAATTGCCACGCCTGCTACGGCCTGGACGACCGGCGCGGACAGGGGGACCACCCCCTGCGCACCCCCTACGGTATCAAGAAAGTGCCACGCCTGCTACGGCCTGGACGACCGAGCTGAGCTGTGCTGAGCTGAGCTGAGCTGTGCTGAGCTGTGCTGAGCAGTGCTGTGCTGTGCTGTGCTGTACTGTGCTGTGCTGTGCTGAGCTGTGCTGTGCTGTGCTGAGCTGAGCTGAGCTGAGCTGTGCTGAGCTATGCTGAGCAGTGCTGTGCTGTGCTGAGCTGAGCTGAGCTGTGCTGAGCTGAGCTGAGCTGTGCTGTGCTGAGCTATGCTGAGCAGTGCTGTGCTGTGCTGTGCTGTGCGAGAAGGAGAAGGGGAGGGGGGAGGTGTGAGACGCGGGTGCGGCGCGGCAGGGAAGAAAACCAGAACCCCACGAAACATGTGGGGAAAACTATCTGAGGTCCGCGGCGGATTTCTTGGATCGGCTCTGGACCCCCCCTCCCTGGCGCGCGGAGCGCGCCAGGGCGCGCCGGAGGCGCCGCCGGGGGGCCCCGGCGCCGATCCGAGAAATCCGCGCGGACCTCCGAGATTTTATGTTTATGTCACTTGTTGTTCCCCTAGGGAGGTTCCTCCAGACTTGCACCACTGAGCTCGCACGACATGTGTTGCGCTAGGCAGCGAATGCCAAACACGTGGTGCAGTCGGCCCTGGTTGGACAGGGCACGCGAGAGGACACACGACCCTTCCGAGGGCCACGTCGCCATAGGAGCATAGGAGTGCAAGAAGGCACGTGTCGCGAGGCACAGGACACAAGGGCACCCTTGAGCTGGCAGGGTCGACCTACTAATCCGGGCCGACTGTACCACGTAGCTTGCACCGCATACTCCAGATTTCGTAATAAAAGGGAGGGGGTCTCATTTCGGGGGGGGTCTCTTCCAGGCTATCTTGGAGGGCCTGGGGGGGTCTGGGGACGATGTTTTGGAGGGTTCTCCCACGGGGGGGGGGTCTAAGACTTTTCGTCTGGGAGGGTCGAGACCCCCTCCCTTTTATTTCGAAATCTGGAGTAGCTTGCACCACATAGCTCACACCGCACGGTTCTCACCGCGGGGCGCCACGAGGTGGACCCGAGGCACCGGTGGTTGGCCTTCGGGGAGCCCCCGTCGCCGCCGCGGCTCGGCGCAAGCCTCGAGTCCGGGTCGTCCCTCTACAGGAGGAGTACTCAAAGAATAGTCAAAGGATAGTCTGGGGACGATCATCTATTTTTGTTGGACTATTTTTGAGCATGTTTCGAGCCCATTTTTGGGGGTCCCTCCAAAATCCGCCTGCAAGGGGGACGTGCCCGACCGAACGCAGATCGGACACTTGGTGCGTTTGGGCCCCGTCAGAGGTCCGGCTTCGGTCGCCTGTTTTGTCCCGGCTCTTCTGGGCTTTCGTCGTTTCTTACCTCGGAGGTTGATAGGGCTCCTACCCTGACACGTCGATTGGCGAATTGGCAGTCTTCGGTTCGCGAGAGGGCGTCGCGGCCGTTTTTTGTTGGTCCAGAAGGAAAGACTAATTCTCACCCCTGGTCGTACCCATAACCGCATCAGGCAGCCTCTGGTCGATAGAAGAAAGTAAGTAGGGGAAGTCGTCAAAATAGATCCGCAACTTCGGGAAAAGGATTGGCTCTGAGGGTTGGATATAGGGGTCCTTGGATTAATGTTCGAGCTAAGTAGAAGCTACTGGACGCCTTTTGGTGGATAGTGGATTCGCGCATGGCGAGAGTTGCCGTTCAAGGAACGCCTTTCGGGGCTTTCCCTGTGTAGTGAACAACCAACTCAGAACTGGCGCGGACACACGGATTCCGACTGTTTAATTGAAACTAAGCGTTGCGATGGCTTCAAAGGGTGTCGATCTTGGGCCCAGGATGGGCGTGGCCAAATGCGATGAATGTGCCTAGTATGCGCCGTCCGATCTAGAGGTAGCGCAGTGCTACGAGTGCCTGCCGCAGTCGCGTCGGGGCCCAAAGCGGCGTCGAGGCTGGCGGAGGAAGTGTGCCCGCCGTTCATGCATGCAAGGGCAGTCTCGCGCTGCTGATGCAGTGAGGACCCCCCCATCGATGTGCACCGCTGGGGACGCGGGCCAGAGATCTGCACGGATTTGGTGGGTGTGCCTTCCAGGAGTCACGCGCCCGCGCTGTTGCTGGGTCTGGAGCACGGTGCACCCATCCTTCCTCGGTTGCCACGGCTGGACGCGCCCTCAGAACGCGTTCTTGGAGACCTTTGCGGCGACAGCCTTAACGACGGGGCGGCCAGCTTGCCGACCGCCTCGCGCTTCCCAGCATTGGTTGCTGGATTCCTTCGGGCCTGTCCTCTTGCGCCGCCACCTCGTCTTCCTCCTCTTTCTCACGGGGCTGGGCCAGGCGCTGGCGGCGAGGGGCTACGGCCAGAACCGCTCCGTGCGGGACCTGGCCCCCGCCAGTTGGTTCGGCGAACGACCCAGGTAGTCACGGGCATTGGTTGCCGCAGTGGATTCGGGTAGAAGTAACTTGGGGCCGGGCTCAACGCGGCGAACAGCAACGGGAACCAGCCCAAGGCCAGGCTCCAGGCGATCACTAAAGGGTGGATCATGGCGCAGGGTTTCTGACACTCGTCGGCGCCAACTCGAGTGAACAGGCTGATGTTCGTCTCCCTGGTCAGCGGCGCGGCCTTGTCGGGCACGGTCGCCTTCTGCCGGGCGGCTTCGGAGACATTGGTGCGTTGGCCCGCGTGGTACGTTCCACGACAGGAAGTACTGCTCGAACTGGCACCCAGCACATGCAGTCGCGTGGCTCTACAGGCGCTGGAACCTGGTCCAGTTTGCCGTCGAGGCCACGGTTCAACGATTGCGAGCCTGGCAAGCGCTGGCGCGTTCGCTATGCAACCGCTCTCACGTGCTGTCCATCTCTCTCGGCGGCGCGCAGTGGGAGGCGACGAGTGTGCCGCTGCCCGCTTGCACCGTGGACAACGGCACCACGAAGCGGATTCGGTTACTCCAGATTTCGTAATAAAGGGAGGGGGGTCTCATTTCGGGAGGGGGTCTCTTCCAGGCTATCTTGGAGGGCCTGGGGGGGTCTGGGGACGATGTTTTGGAGGGTTCTCCCACGGGGGGGGTCTGAAATGGCTTGTCTTGGAGGGTCCAGACCCCCTCCCTTTTATTACGAAATCTGGAGTACCCATCTTTGCACGCGCCGGCTGTGCCGAGACATTGTGGTCATGCGCGGCTGCCCTGAGGCTGAGTCTTCGTGGAGGTGTGGAGGCATGGCGCGATGCTGGGCCTGTTGCGGGACTAGGAGGCCAGGCGCCTCGTCGCCTCGTTCGGCGCGCGGTGTCTGCGAAGCTCGTTTTTCTGCAGCACAGTGGGCGCCTCCCGCTTGCCTGGCGGAAATTATGCCAGTTGCTCAGGATGATGGGACGACCTGGACAAATGCAGAAACATTCGCACGTGCGATCCGAGCTGAGACAGATGGACCGGCTTCTTGGCAACAGTTTCACACGCGCGCTGCTCTTGACGCACATGTGCGCCATTCGCGACAATCAGGACATGGGGGGCAGCAGGTTCAACGCATTCACGCCTAGCAGTGCACGCGTTAACCGCGGGGCAGTATTTCAGAGCAGGGGAGGCGGTGAGGCATTTGGTGAGATCAGGTCACGCAGGGAAACGCATCGAGCACAACACTGCGCACCAGCACATGTTTCAGCAGCATAATATAAAACCATGGGAAATCAACGATGTTTCCCTCTTTGGGCTCTTTCGGGACGGCTCTCGCAGCTCTCTTGGGCTGTTTTTGGAGCTTCGTCGGGGTCTTTCCGGGGCCTCTCAGGGATCGGGGGTGTGTTGTGGGCTTCTTGGGGGTACCGGAGGCCTCTCGGAGGTCTCTGGAAGCCTCCTGCTCCCGCTCTTGGGCCCATCTTGGGCCTGTTCTGGGGTGGTCTGGGGACTGTCTTGGGCGCCTCTTCGACAGTCTTGGAGCCTTCTTGGCCCGTCTTAGGGCCGTCCTGAGGGTCTCTTGGGCGGTCTTGGGGCGGTCTTGGGCGGCTCCTAGTCCTTCTGGGAGCGTTGGAAGCTCGAGAACGCGAGAAGCCAAAAACATTGAAACAAAAATGAAACAACGACGATTTTGGCGTCTTCGGGCCGTCCCGGGACGCCTCTCGGACCTCTCTTGGCTGTCTTGGGCTGCTTGGGAGCGTCTTGGGCCTTCCTGGAGCGCTGTGGAGGCTCCCCGGAAAGGCCGGGGGAGCGGTACTGGGAGCGTTCCCGAGATGTTCCGGGGAGGTGTGGGACCCGGGGCCGGGGGGACGGTATTTATACATATATATATATATATATATGTATATATATATGTATATATGTGTATTCCCTTCTCCCCCTTTCATCACATGCCAAGATCGTATGTGTTACCTTTCTCTCTCTCTCTCTCTCGCTCGTGATTTGTTTTCTTTATCGCTTTCTCTCTCTCTCTCTCTCTCTCTCCCTCTCCCTCTCTCTCGTTCTCTCATCATCCCTCCCGCGTGCTTCCTCCCGGTTCCCGCCTCCGTTCGCGGCCACGCCAGCTAGACGCCCCCGCCCTCCCTCCCTGCCCCTCCCCTCCTCGTCCCCCTCCCGCGGGAATCGACGCTGGAGGTGCCAGAGCTCGCCGTGGGTGACGTCGTGGTCGCTCACTTCAAGCGCCCCGGAAGGGCGGGGAGGGTGGCCACGGGCTGGCATCAGGGTACAGGAGGAGGAGGAGGAGGAGGAGGAGGAGGAGGAGGGCACAGACGATAGTGAGGACAAGGATGAGGAGCAGGGGCGAGCAGTGAGGTGAAGCCGAATAAGGACGAGCGGCAGGGTGGCGTGAGCAACCCCTTTCCCACTCATCTCTCCTCTCCCCTGCTCCTCATCCTCGTTCTCCCCAGCCTAAGCCTCCCTCCTCACTCTGTCTTCCTCCTTGAATTCCTACGCCCTTCGTCTCGTCATCCTCATCCTCCTCCTCTTCGCTGTCCAGTCCTGTTCGTCCTGCCTCATCCGCTCCTCTTCCTAGCTTCTTCTCCGTCCCCCTTCTCTTCCCTCCCCGCACTCCCTTATTCATCACCGATCTGTCATCGTCCCTCACTCCTCTCTCCCCCTTGCCTCCTGCCTGGTTTGAGTTTGCGTTCGTGTGTCTTGCCACGCTCTCGAAATTGGTGCCAGGTATGATGAGGCGATGCCAGGCAACACTGTCAAAGGCATGCGTGGTATTGCTAGGCATTTGTTTTCACGGTTGATCGCAGCAGTCCATAAGCAGCGTTTTGGCTGGAACAAGTCGGTGATCTTGTTTATTCATTGTGTTGCCTATCGGTGCGGGCCCCCTTCCCCCCCCTCCCCCCCTGGAGCAGATCTTGGCTGTTTTGGGCGCCTGTTTCGAGCAGGCGGGGACCCTCCATAAGACGCACTGCTGCAGACAGCCGCACTGAGCAGAGGTCCAGAGCCAGACCATCCCCCTCTCCCTTCCGCCCAATGTCGAAACGCCGAGAAAAAAAAAACGCTCATAAGGCCTCTTGAGGAGGAGGAGGAGGAGGAGGAGGAGGAGGAGGAGGAGGAAGGGGAGGAGGAGGAGGGAGGAGGAGGAGGAGCAGGAGAAGAAGGAGGAGGAGGAGGAGGAGAAGGAGGAGGGGAGGATGAAGAGGAGGAGGAGAAGAGAGGAGGAGGATGGAGGAGGAGGAGGAGGAGCAGGAGGAGCAGGAGGAGAAGGAGGAAGAGGAGCAGGAGGAGCAGGAGGAGAGGGGAGAGGAGGAGGAGGAGGAGGGAGGAGGAGGGAGGAGGAGGGAGGAGGAGGGATGAATGATGATGATGATGATGATGATGATGATGATGATGATGATGAGGAGAGGAGGAGGAGGAGGAGGAGGAGGAGGAGGAGGGAGAGGAGGAGGAGGGAGGAGGGAGGAGGGAGGAGGGAGGGGAAGGAGGAAGGGAGGAGAGGAGGAGGGAGGAGGGAGGAGGGAGGGAGGAGGAGAGGAGGAGAGAGGAGGAGGAGAGGACGGGAAGAGGAGGAGGAGAAGGAGGAGGAGGAGGAGGGGTCGGCCGAACGCCCACTGTCGAAACACAGAACAAACGCTCACTAGTTCAGTGTGCCGCTCGTAGCGAAGTGACCCTCCAGAGATCTCGTCGGCTCCAGCTGCGGAGCTTCCATGGTGATGGTTATTTGATTCGGCGTTTCGACATTGGGAGGAAGGGGGGGGGGCTCCGGACCGCTGCCTAGGAGGGAGGAGGAGGACGAGGAGGAGGAGGAAGAAGAAGAGAAGGAGCATGGAGGAGGAGGAGGAGGAGGAGGAGGAGGAGGAGGAGGAGGATCCCGACGGGGCACGAGGAGGGCATGTAGGATGGAGGAGAGGACCAGCAGCAGCAGGAGCGAGATGAGGCCTCTGGGAGACTCCGTTCAGCGGGGTCTAGATTGTGGTGATCGTTTTTTATTCGGTGTTTCGACATTGGGAGGAAGAGGGGGGGAAGGGAGGGGGTCTGACTCCAGACCTCTGCTTAGTGCGACTGTTTGCAGCAGTGCGTCCTATAGGGGCAGACTCCACCTGCTCGAAACAGGCGCCCAAAAACAGCCAAGATTCACTCCATGGGCGGGGGGAGGGGGGGTCGCGAGGGCCAGCGCCGATGGGTAAAACAATGAATAACAAAACGATCACTTGTCTGTTAGAGAGGGTGAGAGCCACTGATGTCAGCGTCAGCCAGCTTTTGCGTCTGAGTCGGGTCGTGGCGAGGCAACCATTGCCGGAGCGTTCAGACCGACCGCGGCATCATTCTTTCGAACTTGCCCAAGGGGCAGGTCTCCATTATGTTCCAGGACTGTTTCTCTCTTCACTCTCCCCCGCATCCCCTTCCTCCTCACTCCTCCCCAACTAACGCCCCGCCCCTTGTTTTCATATCCCTCCTTTTCTGCCCTCTTTATCGAAAGACTCTCTCCCTGTACGGCAGGCTTGAGATCTTGTGTGGCTTGACTTGGCGAAGAGGGGCGGGGATGGTGGGGAAGGGAGGAGACAGAGAAGGGTATGGGGATGATGAGGAAGTATGATGAATCATGTTGTTGACGGGAGGAGGAGGAGGAGGAGGAGGAGGGGGAGGAGGAGGAGGAAGAAGATGAGGATGAGGATGAGGATGAGGATGAGGGAGAAGGAACAGGAGGATGAGGTAGGACGAAGAGGAGTATGACACCCAGACTTCGGGGCGACTGTTCCTCGACGGTTGGCGAAGCGGGGTCCATTTTGATCTGGTCGATCCGATTCGGCGTGTTCGAACCCGATTCGACGTTCAGACGGTCCGATGCGGCCCGATGTTTGCATGGTGTTGTTGTGCATCTTGTCGCAGCCGATCCGATGCGATTTCGATCCCACGTCGATGCAGTTCGGTCCGGATCCGATTTCCCGATCCGGTGCTGACTGATCTTGCGAGGTGAAGGGGGCAGTGTCAGGGTGGGAACTGGTTCAAAGGGAGGCGCATCGAGCCCCAACCGCCCGCTGTGTCGCCCCCCGGGGCTGGGGCCCCCCACCCCGCCCGGGACAAGTGCGCCTGCGCGCTGCAGTCGGGGCGCTGAAGAAGGAGCCTCCTTTTGTTTGGGAGCGGCTCCGTGCTCCCAGACTATCTCTTTTTTAGGGTCGGGCGATAACCCGGGTTATCGGGCTTGCCCCCCTCCCCCCCCCCCCAGGATAACCTAATTTTGCCGGTTGTGCAGGTCCGCGGGGAGGGGGGGGGGGGGGCGCGGGCATATGCGGGGCTGCCCACAGCGCGAGGGTTAGGTTATCGGCCGGGCCCCTCCTCCCCCCCCTCCGGGATAACCCGGGTTATCGCCGATTCAAGAAAAACGGTCTTCTGATTGTTTTACAGTTTGCCGTAGGTGTTCTTGAGGTTTTCCATAGGGGAAGTCCAAGTTTCACTGATGGGCCTCATTCAAAATTCAGGGTTCCTCAGGTCACCGCCCCGACGGTACCTGGGTCGCAGCGCTGATCAATCGGCGGTGTGTCTCCGATTCCAGGTCATCGGCTCCCCCTGAGCCAGTCTCCCCCGCTCGACTCCCCCTCAGAGTGGAGGGCAAGCGCCACGGGCAGTGGCGGAATCCCGAATGGCTGGAGCCACCACAGTCTAGTGATTGCTTTTTCCCACAGGATAGGTTGGGTTCGTTAGATTTTAAGAACAGACCTCCCGGCCACTCCCACCGTGCGTACCGCGGCCGCCAGACCCCAAGTTGTCCCGAGAGTCCCGGTTCATTTATCCCTGTTTTGTGCCCGGACAGAACACTTGGGCGACGCAACCCGAAGGGAGGTGACCAAGGTGCTTGCATGAATTCACGTGCAGTCGGACCTCGCAACATGAACATGAACGGCGGCACAGACCGCCCCAGGCTTCACATCTGCGCCGCCGTTGCGAGGTGCCTCGAGATGCCACCCCGAGACACGGCCACCGGCACCACCCCCACTTGGCCGCCAGCCTCAAGCAGCGGAGGCCCCGCTGCCCAAGGACTTAAGTTCCCCGCTGCCAGGGTTAACTTATCCCGCCTCGCGCCCTCGACAAACACGACAGAACAGACCCTGCATACCGCGGCCGCCAGACCCCAAGCTGTCCCGAGTGTCCTGGTTATCCCGCCTCGCGCCCTCGACAAACACGACAGAACACACCCTGCATACCGCGGCCGCCAGACCCCAAGGTGTCCCGAGAGTCCTGGTTATCCCGCCTCGCGCCCCCGACACACACGGCAGAACACACCCTGCATACCGTGGCCGCCAGACCCCAAGTTGTCCCGAGAGTCCTGGTTATCCCGCCTCGCGCCCTCGACAAACACGAAAGAACACACCCTGCATACCGCGGCCGCCAGACCCCAAGTTGTCCCGTCAATCCCGGGTATCCCGCCTCGCGCCCTCGACAAACACGACAGAACATAGTATGACACAACAGGACGTGGCAGAACAGAGCAAGAGCATGACAGAACATGCCAGAACATAAAAAACAATATCATGACAAAATAGTGACGCCAGTACATCACATAACATACCAGAGCATAACATGACATAACATAAAACAACATAACACAACACAACATACCATAATCGAGCATAACATAAGACTCAGTGACATACCATATCAGATCATGACACAACGCCACCAAACATATCATAAGACTGAGGCAGAGAATAGCGGCGAACACCACAACATGACACACCATAATATAGCATAACATAACACGAGCATGTCAGGGCATGACAGAGTATACCATACCAACAGCATGACAAACAAGAGCATGATATGGCATCACAGAACGCATCATACCATAGCATGGTATAACATAAGGCGACATAGCACAGCATAACATAGCGTACCATAATATCACATATGACACCTTTGTAGAACATCCCATATCATTGACTCTATCGCATAGCAAATCATAACATTACAGTATATCAGATCGCCACATACTAGCATAACAGGTCATACTATGTTACATGTTGCCGAGCCGTCCACCAACACAAAACCACATAACATACCAGAGCATAGCATGATGCAACAGAAGACGGCATACCACATCACAACACACTATAACCGAACATTGCATAAGAAATTATGGCAGGACACACCAGATCATGACACAACATTAGAAAAGGGATCATAGCACGGACAAGAGCATTGCGAGACATATTAGGAGAGCATAACATAACATAGTGTATTGAACCGAGCCGTCACAAGCATCACGAAACAGAGCATACTATAACATACTATGTCAGCAGAGTATGCAATAATATAATGCCGTAACGCAGATCATACCATAGTATCTTCAACCACATGGTGACAGATGCAAGCCAACGTGCTCCCATGGATGTCGGATACCCACGTGCTGGGGGGGCTCCGCCCGGGGCCGCCGCGCGCCCCGCGCATGCTCGGGGGAGCGAAGAAGACGAGGGCGAGGGGGAAGAGGGGGGGGCGAGGCGCATGATGAGGGAAGAGGACGAAGAACAGGGCGAGGAGGAGGGAACGGAGGAGGAGGAGGAGGGAGAGGAACGAGTACGATGAGGAGGAACAGGAGGAGGAAGGGGAGGTCCGCCTCACCTCCTTTTTCCGCCCCCTCCTCGGCCTTCGTCGTCCGTCTCCCCCTCGTGGTGTTGCTGCTGTTCCTCCTCTTCCTCTCACCGGAGGCTGATACTATCTCAGAACAAGTTCTGGGGCATCTCAAAGAGCGTTTTGGGTTTGGTTTTGTCCTCGTCAGGGGTCTTTTGGGGTTGTTCGAATTCGGAAAAAAACTTGCGACCTGGCCCGGCCGTCGCGCTGGCCGACGCCGCCGGGCACTGCGCACATCTTTCAGTCGGGGGCGGCAAAGAGGGGGGTGATGACTAGGGGGGGGTGGATATCATGGCGGGGCCCATAATATTTCCCCAGATTTCATGGCGCCTCTTCTTATTTCGTTACGTCCCTGGCCCCCCCCGCTGGGCCGCGCACATGCCGCCGGTCATGATTTGCGCCCCTCTCTCTTGGACACCCCCCTCTTGGCCGCTCCCGATTCAGTAGGCGCGCGCCCCGCTGGGACCAAACGCTGAAGGTTTCGGTGGGTATCGCTCGAAGCAAAACAACAGTCATTCTTGCTAAGGCCTTACGGCCAGTGCCGCCAACCCTGAAGACGACGACGACGAATACGAGGAGGAGGAGGAGGAGGAGGAGGAGAAGGAGGGGGATTAATGTGGAAGGGAGCAGGAGAAGGCGAAGCAGATGTTCCCCATGTGAGCCGAGGGAGTCGTAGCAGAGACAGACAGGGAGCCTTGTGGCCTGCGGCCCTTCCCGCCACAGTGGTGGGGTTGTGGTTGAAAGGCCTCTTGGATGTTTTCGGGCCTGTTGGGGCCTCTGTTGGGCCTCTTGGGGGTCTCTTGGGGGCCTCTTCGGGCCCCTTGAGGGGCTCTTGGGGCTTTCTGGGGGCTTCTTGGGGCGGGAAGCTCGAAATGTCGGTTCGTGGTCCTCTTCTTGGGTCTGCTTGGGGCCCTCTTGGTGCGTCTTGGCGCTTTTTTAGGCTTCGGGACGCCCAGGGGCGGATGCGTATCTGACCCCCCCGGGACCCTGCCCCGGGACCCCCCCGGACCCCCCCCCCTCGGCGGAGCAGGCATCAAAGGGAAGGGGCTTCCCTTCGACTTAAGTGCGACGTTGCTATGATTTCTGGGCTGACAGGCTTGAAGAGGAGGGTGCAGGGAAAGAGGACAACGGATGCGTCGACTGAGCGCGCGCCGCCGACAAGGTCGGCGGATGTTGCCGATCGGCGCGGGCCCTCGCACCCCCCCCCCGCCCAGAGTAGATCTTGGCTGTTTTTGGGCGCCTGTTTCGAGCAGGTGGAGTCTCCCCCTACAGGACGCACGCTGCAAACAGTCGCACTAAGCAGAGGTCCGGAGCCAGACGCCCCCCCCTCCCTCCTCCTTCCTCTCAATGTCGAAACGCCGAATAAACAAAATATCCCGGCACAGCAACCTAACAGCGATGTGTATAAGCATATCTGGAAGCATGCCCCTTAAGATTCAGGTGAGAATCCAGTTGTAGAACTCTGCTGTTCTCGCAGTCGCAGTCGCATTCGCAATGACAGTCGCAGTGGCAACGGCCTTAGGATCCAATGGAATCCTAAGGATTCCTAGAGATTCCTGAGGCATCCTGAGGAATCCATAGGAATCCTTAGGAAGCCTTAGGAATCCTTAGGAAATCTGATTCCTAGGGATTCCTAGGGATTCCTAAGGATTCCTAGGGAACCCCAAGGATTCCTACCTGAGCCTGCCTCGCCCTCAGCCTCAGCCTGCCTCAGCCTCAGCCTGCCTCAGCCTCAGCCTCAGC